AGGTAAGTCTATCGCACACCCCTCAAATAAACATTTTTACTCAAATTTTATAAGTAGGTGTTGATTCAGTAAATGAGAAAAAATAAAAAGAAACATAGTGGCCTAACATTGGCCAGCTATTCGTTTTATTAGGCAAGATTCTTTTTATGTATTACTTATTGCCGAGAACGTAATGGCGTTACAACTGCAGAAGTTTCGGTCGCCTTTTAATTTCATATGGGAAACGGATATTTTGGTCATTTACTTATATCAAATGGCAGGCGTTTTGATAGTTATCATTAGGATATCAAATGGCAGGCGTTTTGATAGTTATCATTAGCCCCATATCAAATGGCAGGCTGTTCCCAATTATTTATTTATTTATATCAAATGGCAGGAGTTTTGAAGATAGTTATCATTAGCCCTGTATCAAATGGCAGGCGTCTTGATGGTTATCATTAGCCCTTAACAAATGGCAGGCGTTTTGATAGCTATCATTAGCCCTTTAACTGACTTCGGTATGGCAGGCGTTTTGATAGCTATCATTAGCCCTTTAGTTGGTGGCAGGCGTTTTGATAGATATCATTAGCCATTTAGCTGAGTCACTCAATGCCATAACATTTATTTATTTCAAAATATATATATATATATTTATTTATTTCAAATGGTTCATAATGAAGTTTCAATATTTATTTATTTATTTCAAATGGCCGGCGTTTTGATAGTTATCATTAGCCCTTTAGCTGACTTCAGCGTTTTGATAGTTATCATTAGCCCTTTAGCTGACTTCGAACTTCACGGAGGGGAGGAACAGACTAAATCTCAAAATGCGGATAGGGGGCAACAGAAGAGAGATTTACAGATGTAAAAGAGACAGACAGACTCAAGGTAGAGAAAAAGGTAAGGAAGTACTGTGAAAGTGATGGAATAATACATATAGTGGTGGTCATGGTTGTTTGATGTGAGAAGTCAACTGCCGGTTTGTAGACTTTTTTACCGTATGTGTATACGTTGCCAGGGTACACAACGTGGAGGTAAGCCTATCGCACACCGCATATTTTCATCATTAAATGTAAACAATACGAAGATTATACCTCTATGAGTAAGCTGTCTTCAGATGCTTGAATAGCTGAATTAAAAATCAAAATGAAGTATCATATGAAGATGTGAAGTATTTTTTCATCTAACCTGAGAATATATTCATAAAACTCTTCGGACACTTCCAAATTTGTTCTACTATGACTCAAGACACTGATCATAACAGCGGCAGGTATTTGTATGTTCCAGGACAATAGAGCCATTTATTCAATTTATTCTTGGTCACTTGTTTCATCAATTCCTATCATAAATTCAGTGATCAGAGCGTTAAGCGTGGATCTTATACGTAAAGATTAAGTCAATTTTTTTCCAAATTATGACGCTGATTGAACTAAAATGTTACATGGTCAAACGTGCGATTCGGGATTGAACACCAGTTTCGTAATCCATGTAAGGTTAAGATGCTGAGAATCATAAACCTCATAATGCAAATGTGAAGAATAGACTTTTATGTTCTAGAGTGTTTCCAAAATCTCTGGTGCGTATAATGCTTAACTTATTCACAAACCAATCGACTAGTAAATTATGTAGCTAGTGAGAGCGGTATACTCATTTTCACACTTTAGCTAATACTTCCTCGCTTAAATCAGTCTGACATTAACGTTTGTATGAAAGTTCATTTGAATTCATGCACTACTCTACCTATTTCCTGTTCATTTTTCTACTGTTTGCTTGATTCAATCGTTTCAAGTATTTCTATGTAGAGCGAAAGATATATTTTTTATTCCAATTGAAACCTAATTCCCATTTGAGATATCATGTTTATGCGCGCAAAAAAAATTATGCAACAAGGAAATTTTTATTTTCAAGAGAAAAAGTGCTAATTTTCTTTCCCTCCTATTAATCGCATATTTGTAGTTAACAGGAAAGATCTTAGTAACTTTATCAAGAAATGCATATACTTTAGCAATGAATTAAATCCTGCCAGTTTACAAAGGAGTTATAGCGTAAATGAGTTGGGCGAGACTGTCATAATTGAAGAAATTAGCCATCCTGATAAAGAGATAAAGCTTTTGGAAATGTTCTAAGCTAGCTCGAAGCCTATATTAATTGTATTTACAGTCGAGTTCAGCAAGAGCTTCCTGAATTCAGGGGAAAACGTCACTAATCACTAATCACGAATACTTAGGTTGACGTGAATTGTCATTAAAGAAAAAGTATAGAACAATGGAATAGAATAAGTGTAATATTTACCCATAGGGAGAAATGTTCTTTGATGTTCCTTTATTTGGAATGAACTTTATTAGTGCAGATGAACTTTAACAATAATTCTAACTCGAAAATAGCTCTAACTTCTTAAGAGAGAGAAAAAATCATCCAAGGTACTTATTGTGTACTGTGAACGATCCTTTAGCAAATGGTTCGCTTTAAGCTGCCATTTTTATCTAAGTGGTTAAAGTAAGAATCAGTTTTATCACTCTTATAAAAGCATGTCACACGTCGAATTTGTTTGCATTATTGTGCTTTCTCCACTGAAATCCTTTTGAACAGTTACAGCTCCATATGGACAATTAAGATAATATGGCATCCTTCATCGAAGCAACTTGTGGGTGTGTGATAGACTTACCTCCACGTGGTACACTCTGGACAACGTATACTCATACCGCAAAAGAGTCTATAAACTGGCAGTTGACTTCTGACTTCTAACTACTATCACCCCACTGTATGCCATATTCCACAATTTCAGCAGATCTCGCCTTACCTTTTACTCAACATCCATTTCATATTCGGCTAATTCCGCAGTACTCACCTCACCTAATTTCTACCTTCGATTCGCCCCCTTTCACAGTACTCATCTTACCTTTTTTATAACTTTGTGTCATATCTGTCTGTCTCTTTTACGTCTGTGAATCATTATTCTGTCAGCCTGTCTGTCTCTTTTACATCTGTGAATCATTATTCTGTTCCCCCTCTCCACTTTCTGTCACCTTGATGTTCCCCCTCCTCCTCTGTGAAGCTTGAAGCCAGCCAAAGGGCTAATGATAACTAACAAAATGTCCGCCCTTTGATGTACAACTTTAGCAGGTGAGGGACTTAAGAAGAACTACGAGAGCGAAGTGTTTTCTGAGAAATCGAAGATTGCTAGAATCCTCTTAACTGCCTTTCATATTAGTCCAATCGCATTTTAAATATTTGCCGAAATTATGTGAAGCATGAAATGATATCCTTCTTCCGCGTTTTTTCACCTAATGTTAATATTATTTATTTTGAAACACATGATTAAAGTAGATAGAGTTATCAAAGATTTTCCTAAATCAAACATTTTAGGCTGCTTTTCTGAAATTAGGTTAATTTAACACATTTCAGCATATCGCAAAGAATTCTACCTATCCGAAGGACGTTCTGCAAACCTATCATATTAAATGACCTTTCTGGTAGAACCTCCTTTGAAGTCTCATGGAAAAACTATGGAGAATAGCTGGCCTTAAATAAAACTCCTACCAATCTGTTTTAATTCGATCATATAATTGTCAAATTCTAGCATTTCATATGAGAACTTCGTTTTATCCTGAGTGCTTTGAAAGAATGCTTTTGAAAGTGCATTGAATTTAAAAAATTGCAAAAATTTAATTCATACATGCTTCAATTCATACAAATTTAGTAAGTTATCATGCCTTCACTAATCAAAAAAATTCGTCGGTTTTCAAAATGGAGCAAATCAAAGGTACTATATTTCCTGAATTAATAAAAATAAAAGCTGCAAAGTTTTGGTGTCGGTTCAAGACCAACGATTTTCACCCTCATCCGCATTGATATTCCGTGTAGACAGTTACTTCCAACTTTACAGTTGTTCGGTTTAAAAATCACGAATAATGGTATTGTGTTTTGACCTTCAAACATCAATAACGCGAAAATGACGTATATTCACTTATATTAGGGTATTTTTTAGCCTGCCAATATCTGGTGGGCAGATGGATAATCACGCCAGAAGCTGGACGTTTTAGTCCACCAGCTGTGGAGTGGAGCAATATTATAAATGCATCTGGAGTACATATTTTGAAACAGAACAGAATCATTGTTAAAGGGTGTTGCCGGCATTGTATGAACTGATCCCAATTTTGAGCCTAGATATTGGCAAGGGTCATGAGGTGTTAAGTTCAGACACCCAGTTTCCGGACATAGGCTAAAGCCTTAACAATTCTGTAAGACCAAAGGAAACTCTGTTTAACTTACCCGTCACAGCATTCTTTTAAGTTCTTCGTCAAACAACTTGTCATTGACTCCCTTCATATAAGCAAAAGTTAATTTTCGTACTTTCAAATTTAGAACCTTTTCTTTATGTTTTTTATAATTCTTAACGTCATAATCTATTCTGTCTGAGTCAGATTGGTCTTTTGTCAGTTGCTATTAGCTAAAAGAAAATCCATAATTCTCGTTCCCTCAGTATAAATCTGCGAATTCACCTATATCACATATAATATATACAACATGAAATAAATAGATAATTATAACTAAAATAGAAAATATAGGTTTTCAATTAAAGTGAAAATGAGTACCGAAATTAATCTTTCCGCCAAAAAAGGCGACAATAAGTAGAGTAAGGAACAAGTCCACCTCATAATTGACGTTCGCTGCAAACTAGAAAACAAATTGAAGCTCTTTACGTCTACTAATTAACTACGCATTAACCAACTCTGTTGCCATTTGGTTGACCCTTGGGTTAGGATGGCTCAGTTACAACTTGAAACGGCCGACGCAATTACTGCACACACACCCAAACTCCAAATCACACAAATAACCTTAAAAGCTCAACGATCATCACTTCACAAACACACACACACACACACAAACCAACTCTTTTCCTTGCTCCTTCCTGAGCACAAACGCGCAAAAAGGACTTTTGAGGTTAGGCTACTGAGGCTCCTCGAGTGTATATAAACCGACCGGAGTGAAACAGCTTCGCAATTGGAAACGATCTAACAATGGCGGAACAATGCAAGGCGATAGTAAAGAATGCGGATATGTCGGAGGAGATGCAGCAGAAGGCTGTGGACGTTGCCAAGGAGGCTATGGAGAAATTTTCCATCGAAAAGGACATTGCTGCTCATCTAAAGAAGGCTTTCGATAAGGAATACTCATCCACTTGGCATTGCGTTGTCGGTCGAAACTTCGGAAGGTTTTTTAAAATTCTTCATTTGTACAACTCAACCGATCTTGCCTACGTATTTGCATAAGTCTCTTTTTCCTGTTTTAGCTATGTAACTCACGAATCAAAGCACTTCATCTACTTCTACATGGGCCAAGTCGCCATTCTCTTATTCAAATCTGGTTAATCAGTAATTACATTATGAAAATTTGACTGTATAGACGATTTTTTCACTTATGATTTTGCTATAATTTATATATCCGCAATTTATCAATATTGGAATAAAATCTGATCTTTAAAAAAGGTGACTAATTCTGTTAGGATTGTGGTTAGTGAAATGAATAGTGTATGGCACAATTTGCCCTCCCTCCTCAACAACAGCTTGAATGCAGGAATTAGGCCATACACATTAACATTTAGCCACTTCTATCAGTTTGATTATCATAGCGGAAGAAGGTGTGGGTGCACAGAGAAGTAGTTAGTAGGGCAGTTGGATGAAAAGAGAGAGAAAGGTATGGGGGTGGAAAATAAAGAAATACGGAGATTGATGCGCAGATGGAGAAGAGTTGGCAATAGGATCTGGTTGTAGTCAAGAAGACAAGAAATAAGGTAAGGGCTGGACGAGGATATTCAATACTACTAAATGGGAATAGTAAGTGGACCTTTTCGGTTAATGCGAGTAACCGCAAAATGATTTTGTGAATATGACAAGATCAGAGCCTTAATAATACCATTTCAAAACATTACACACTAATCCTCTGTTGTTTTCAAAATTGAATTACCCACTTAACAATGTAAATGATTTCAAATTAGCCATTCTAACCTAATGGAGGTTTAAAGATATACTGAAGATTCAATAATCGGATAGTAAATTGTTGTGAGTTAACACTTTTTGAAGGAAAATACACGGGAAATTGAAAATGAATGAAACGTTACTTAGATCGTCAGGGTATTTTCTTCACAGAAAGCGAGTGCCTCCACAATTGCCAACAATAATATTTATTTAGTAAACTCCATTGACTGAGAAAGAGGGATGTGAGTGCACTTTAATGATTTTACTTCATATCGACGTTACCCGCCACAGCGAGTCTCTTAGCGAATTTTAACACATCATAAGAATATATTTTTTGCCTCGGTCTTCGGATTTAAAAACTTCTTGAGTTCCTCCCTTCTTTGTGGGCTCCACATGCGCAACAGAAACTCCTTTCAATTAATTAGCTACAATCTTGCTGTCTCCACTCTGCCACCGACTCGTCTGCATTCCTTCCTTGTGGTAGTAGGAGAGGCGTAGTTTAAAAGAGCGCCAACTGGATATTTGCCATCTTACTTTGGCGAGTCTTCTAAATTGAAAACTGCTTCAACATAGATTTGATTCCAAGAAATGCTCAAGCAATTCTTTGCTTCGGAATTCGCTGCAAACAGTTTAAGTATTCTTTAAAGGTTGCAATCAGCAAAGTCGCCGCCGTTATTTTATAAAAATATTTAAATTTCATTGAAATTTATTATAAATATAATTAGCTAATAAGAATTTCCGTCATTAGAAAGAAACTTCACTTTATAATTGTCAATTACTATATGTAAACCAAGCTTCTAAATTCATTTATACAAGTTATGTATATTGTTTTGTAGACTTGTAGCGGATTGCTCCCTAAGTCTCGAACATGTAGCGGATTGCTACCTTAGTAAAGCCTGACTGACTCAGAAATCTCTATGGCAGATCCTCCAACATCTAACTGGACTCCCAGAACCAGCTAAGCTATAGACCAGCTATGAAGGATACAGACGTGTAGCACGGAGCACGCTTATTCAGTACGGGTATTACGAATAAAGCACGCAGGGAGCTTAATCATGATCAGGATGGCGGATTAGGTCAAACAAACAGAGGCTAGTGGTCACTGTTTGTACGGTCGCTGCACACAGAGTTGTACGGCGAAGGATGGGGGGATTAGGTTAAACAGAGGTTGATGATTGGTCAGATGGATGAGGGATTAGGTTAAACAGAGGTTAATGATTGGTCACTGTTTGTACGATCGCGTTAAACAGAGGTTAATGATTGGCCACTGTTTGTACGGTCATAAACAGAGGTTAATGATTGGTCACTGTTTGTACGGTCGCACCTCCCAGGTCGCCGGTTCGATCATGATCAGGATGGCGGATTAGGTCAAACAAACAGAGGCTAGTGTTAAACAAACAGAGGTTAATGATTGGTCACTGTTTGTATGGGATTAGGTTAAACAGAGGTTGATGATTGGTCATTGTTTGTACGGCCGCACCTCCCAACCCTGGCGAGCAGACATGCAGGCATACGATGACGCACACAGCGATAACGTGTCCCACAATACAAGAGTTTCGTGCTAAAGGAATTTAAATTCATTTCACAATAAAATACTATCCAAAGCGTTTTACCATTTTCACTATTTATTTAAAAAATGATTATCGTACGTGTTTTTATGCTTATTAACTTTTTGTTATTTTTATTTAAAAGTTTGTCTAAACGGGCATTTATTAATTTTGGGTAGAAAGTGATGTGAAAAGGTTGTAGCAGGTATATAAAAAGCTCAGTTGGAATTAAGACACAATTCACCTTCCATGTCACTGAATTTAAAATTTTATCTAACTGGTTGTAGATGGTAGTACTAAAATAAGCCTTGGCAAAACCTCAGCCATCTCCTTGGCAAAATGCCCGGTATTAGATTGCTCCCGAAATCAGCTAAGTTCTCATAACAAAAGCCAAGAAGCAAAACGCATGGCTCAAATTGAGATTGTGATGAATATCGTACTGGGGGCATAGAGCTGAGGCAGTAATAGCACTTTGTGGGTGCACTACTCTATTGATTGTTCATTCATTTCAAATGGCAGGTGTCTTGATAGTTATCATTAGCCCTTTAGCTGACTTCGGGATTCACAGAGGGAGGAGGAACATTAAAGTAACAGAAAGTCGAGTTGTGGTGAACAGAAGAGTGATTCACAGATGTAAAATGGCAGGCAAAAAGGTAGGGAAGAGGGAAAGGTGAGCACTGTGGGAGTTTTTCAAATATGGCATACAGTCGAATCATGGTAGTTTGAAGTGAGAAGTCAACTGCCGGTTTATTGACTTTTTTGCCATATTAGTATACGTTGTCCAGGGTGCATGATGTGGTGGTAAGTCTATCGCGCATCCCACATTTTAACATTACATAACACTTTACTAGTTGTAAAAATTAAATGCCTAGATTCCGTGAAATATTGTGTTGATGATTAAATAAAATAAATTGATTAATGCGTCAGAATTAATTCTACTTTAGCAGGCCTTATCAACGTCAAATATCCTAGAATTCATCACATACAATGACTTGTTATCTGACCTGGATTATTAACCTGTTGAGGCGAAGCTACTGAGGCAGTTTAGCCACAATTATCCTTTATTAGAATGCTAAAAAACAAATTTTATTCAAGCTACATATACATTTATTTAGATTTATATATTTGATGAGATCAAAAGAATCATTCAATGAAATACAGCAGTGGTTTATGATTGACCTTAAAAATGAGCATCTTATTGATTTTCTCACTTACTCATTAGTATGCAATTTTTGCTCATATTTTTTATATTTGATCTCAATTTCAATATTCAGGGGTGTGCGATAGACTTATCTCCGCGTGGTATACCCTGGTATATGGCAAAAAGTCTATTAACCGGCAGTTGACTTCTTACTTCCAACTACTATCACCCCACTGTATGTCATATTCCACTACTTCCACAGTACTCACATCACCTTTTTTCTATCTTTTCTACTTTCGTCTTTGAAACATTTTTCTGTTTCCCCCCTTTGAGAAGCCTGAAGTCAACTAAAGGGCTAATGATAACTATCGAAACGCCTACCATTTGATATAAATAAACAAATAAATTTCAATATTCATTAAATACTAATGCTTTGATATTTAAATTTCTTCAATGCCACTTATTTAGTAAATTTTGATGACTTAGAGCATTAATTAATGTTAAAACAAAATTATTTACATTACCGGAATAAACTAACATCAGGTGTAAATTTTACAAATTTACCTAAAGGAGTTGTATTTACCTTAATTTAAACAATGGTTAGCACATTCACATCGCATCTGTGTGCACTCACCCACCATGAGCCCACTCACAATGGCCTAATCTGAGGCTAATCAGAGGACATGCTACTGAGGGCAAACTCGTCTCAAATCACCATATATAATCAGCAGCTTTAATTAGGAATTAGCATAGAGAGCGGTAGATATGAACACGGAACCTGGTAAAGCTGTTGTGAAAAATGCCGATATGAATGAAGAGATGCAGCAACGGGCTGTTGACTGCGCCCGTGAGGCAATGGATAAATTCAACATTGAGAAGGATATCGCCGCCCATATCAAGAAGGAATTCGATAGAAGTTACAATCCAACATGGCATTGCATTGTCGGTCGCAATTTTGGCAGGTTGGTTCCGGCTCTAACACGCATTTTCTATACAGCTGTGACATAGTGCTATTGCTAGTATTTTTTGTCTATTTCAGTTATGTGACGCACGAAACCAAGCACTTCATCTACTTCTATATGGGCCAAGTCGCAATTCTTCTCTTTAAATCCGGTTAATGCGAGAGACCTCCATAAAATGCCTTATTACAACCTACTCTGCTTCATTTTATCTGCACTATTAGAATAAAAGGTTGATATTGGGTTCCTCCTGAATTTATTTGCTAAATTGGGTGGATGACTGAATGACAAATTACGCTGACTAAGAAATAGTTGTATAGATTTCAATCGACTTTTATTACATAGTAGTGATCCGTATAATAGCCACTGCTATCTAGGATTTATAAAATTTACATGAAATTGCATAATTTGTACTAGTTTTTTTTAATTCCCGATCACCTCAAAAATTTTCTGAAATCTCTAGTCATCTTTAATTATTTGAGACGGTTTATTGGAAAGTATTAAAACTTTCAAATGAGAAGTGTGGTACCTTTGGAGAATTTTGTTGAGACCGTTAGCTATGAATAAGCAAGCCACATGCAGACACACTTGATGCACTGAATGATTCATATACACCTTAATCTACGCTTGACTTTTTTATGGCACGGAGTTGGAATTCTTGATTGCTTTGCCAATTAGTAGAATAGCTTAAAGATGTCTGCTAAGTACAATTATCAGGTTTTTATCACCGACTCTTTTATTAGGTGAGGCTGACCAGCTAATGTCTCCAAGACTTCAACAACACATTTTTACTCAATTACAATTTTAATTACTCCTTCTGATCTAAACTATCTTTCAACTGATGAAAATATTCCAGCAAATAATGAAACAGTATAACGAGCACAAAGTGAAATTAAGTCCCATAGGTTTCTCACGATACTACTAGACATTGCCGTATTTTGTGTGCTTTTATCTTTTGCATATGGGGTGTGCGATAGACTTACCTCCACGTGGTGCA